ATCATTAGACTGATGCAAAATTTGAAATTTTCGCTCCACAGTGCTTAAACGGTTCCAAATTGGGTCCTTCTTAGCCTCCCAAAATTTGAACTACTTTAGTAAGAAACTGACTTCGCACAAACCATTTCAAGTTTATATGGAAATTACTATGGGAAAACTTATGTTTTTGTTCATATGTATCTAACAATTCACCACATCACTATGCTTTTAAAAATGATAGCAGTGATTGTAGAAAATTTTCCCAGCTACAACTTTGTTGAAACCCACTTTTCAATCAAATGTAAGGAACAAAAGTTATTAATGATTCAAGTCACTGATGTCTTATCATTATGCTCGTTCAACTGTTCAGCAGGCAACATTGGTGTTTCTGGTGAGAAGAATAGAGCACAAATATCATGGCTACTATGTCACACTGCAGAATACAGTGTTGCTAACAGAACAGCTGCTTGATCATGCCATAAGATTATCAATCTCTTAAACAATTAATAACTATTTAATTTGACATTTAGCTGAAAAACGATTTTCCGCAAAGTTGTAGCTTAAAAAAATTTCCATAAGAATAGTTATAGAACTTTTCGAAAAAGCAATATGGTAAAAGGGCAATAGACAATGAACAAAATGTTTGGTTTTCACATAGTAATTTCCTTATAAACTTCGAATAGTTTGTGCCAAGTCAGTTTCTTACCAAATGAGTTTAAATTTTGGGAGGCTAATCAGGACCTGATTTGAAACCGTTTGAGCACTGTGGAGCGAAAATTTCAAATTTTGCATCAGTCTAATGATCATACAAATTACAAATAAATTTCTGATCAAAGCACAAACTGACATCTGCCGCCGTGTTCGCGGAATATTTTTATCCTAGCCACGAACACGCGTACAACATTTATAAGTTGGTTCGTGTCTAATCTATTTCGGACAAATTATTTTTATTATTATACAAATCACTGCACATTTGAATCGGCCGTTATGGATTCTCGATCAAGAGTTAAGTTTAAGTTTCATGTCGGTTTGTCAGTGTCAAATGCCCATCAATAAAGGTATTTTTGGAAGCAGAAATGACGTCTAGAGGTCGGAAATCGTTGATTTTTTAAAAATTAAAAATGGAAAATACTGATGCCGACCCATCCATATGGGTATTTTTGAAATCGGTATGACGTCTAGAGAATGAAAATCGATATTCGACGCCATTTTGAAATCTAAAATGGCAGCTTCCGATATAATAAAAAGTGGAAATATTAATTTCCATTTAATTCCACTACCTTATTTGCATAATATGGGTATTTTTGCAATCGGAGTTGCTACAGATTGGAAAAAGATATGCGACGCCATTTTTTAATTCAAGATGCTTCCAGTTTAAGAAAAAGTGGGAAATACTGTTAAATACTCATCAATATGATAATTTTTGGAATCGAGATGACGTCTAGAGAATAAAAATTGATATCCGACGCCATTTTGAAATCCATGACCGCGGCTTCTGGTTTTAAAAAAGTTATGAAATTATATCAAATAACTATACATGTTTTTTTTTAAATCAGGTTAACGTCTAGAAGCCGGAGTTATTGCCATTTTGAAATTCGAAGCGACGGCTTCCGATTTGAGAAAAAGTGTCAAATAACATGGGTATTTTCAGAACGGGGATGACACGTAGAGGCCGGAAATCGATGTTTCTGTCTGTTTTCTCATAAAACATGTAGATGCAGGTACAGTGTATCTCAAAACGAACCTAGCGGACAATTTTTTGAAACATGGTGAATAGATATATGTTTTTTTTTTCAAATCGGGGCTGGCGGTTGAACAGATGTTTATTGATTTATTGCTATAGTTTTGATGTTTATTGGAAGAGCCTGTATGAAGTTAGATTTATTTTAGTAAAACGCTCGATTTTCAACTCTTTACCTAGTGGACGAATTTTGGTAGTGGCATATTAATGATCCTTACTACGACTAAAAATGAGCAAAATTTCAAGAAGTTATGATCATTTTATTTCAAGAAAATAAGGTTTTTCAAGAAAAAGGCGTTTTTCATAAATTACTATAACATTTTTTAAAATCAACCAAATATGCCTCAATAAGCCTCATACTGAAACAATAATTGATAAATGTATACTGAGTCAGCTACCAACAATGCAGAGACGTTTCTTTTTAACTTGTGCTTTTAGAGCCGTTTTTCTAAAATTTAAATACAGCTGTACGATCAATTTTGAGATACACTGTATATACAATAACCGTTCGTGGACTTTCCCAACCCCTGATGGGAATATAAGTATTCCCGATGAACGCGGTGGGTAGTTCAACCCATGCAGAAATATAACCATGAACTGATAATGAAATTACCATACACTCACTCCGCACAGTGTGCCAAAAACAAGCTTGGGCACACCTGGGCACAATCATTGGCACTGTTTGGCACCCATGGTTACATTTTTTCTGATATTTAAAATTACTGGCAACATTGACTTTTTTCTGCGCCTGCGCAGTGTGCATGTGTCAACATTTGTTATTGATGTTGCCACAATATAATCAAATTATTTTCAAAACACAACCGTGAATCTCCGCTCAGTCTCGCCATGGATTCTCCTAAATCTAATTTTCAGTGCACATCCTGATGCCTGTCCGAAGAACTAGGTACATCATTTCGCGCCGGACTGCGTACAATCATTCCGACCACCCAGCAGGAAGAAATCAGGGCAATCGCTTGCATATCAACACTCCGTCATCAAAATCGTTACCCCAGTGACGGCAGTCGCGTCCATATTTCCTCCTAGACGAAGAATAGCTGACAGCGGTATCTTGACCTGACCGATGTTTCCGGCCACGGCTACATGAACTAGCGATGCAGCTCCCACGGCTGCGGCTCCTTCCAATGCAGCTGCTGCTGGTCCGTCTCCTACAAAATTCTTTTGGCGAATTTTAGAGGAGACGGAACAGCAGCAGCAGCATTGGAAGCAGCCGCGGGAGTTGCATCGCTAATTCGTGTAGCCGTGGCCGACGCTGGAAATCTCGGTCCAGTCACGACAAGCGGTGCTTGAGATTTAATCGGAAAGTCAACAACTAGGGGAAACAGCCCTATTGTTGCGGTACGTTAGCAGCGTTAGAAGCCTATTGTTGTGTATGAAGGTCTCCATACACAACAATAGGCTTCTAACGCTGCAAACGTACCGCAACAATAGGGCTGTTTCCCCTAAACAAAAACTATACCATTCGATCTGCTCGAATACATCCAACCATTCCATCGTCCAACATATAATGTTGCAGGACCGTCTTGGCAAAATCTCATATAGTTCAACAAACTAGTTTTACTCTCCTGCCTTTTTGCACTTCCAATGTGTTAGAAATTATAATTACGAATCATTACATTTGTGTAGGAAAATCCTTTCTTTTGTCAGAAAAAGAAGCTTCTGCTCTTTCCAAACTTATGTGTTTTCGATGTTCTCGTTGCTCCACGCACCGTTCATCGTCTTGGAGGAGAAGAAACACAGCTTCACAATGAACGGGAATGTTGTGCCTTTGTGATCGATCGCGCTGTGGTTGCACTTCATGATGACGTTCACCGCCAGGGCTACGCTCGGGAACTCGACCAATCCGTAAGAGGAACTTTCCGTTTTCAGCGGGAACATTCGCACTTGCGACGGGTGGCAGTCCTTGGTGGTGAATGCAAAAAGCAGCAGATCCTCGGACAGCCGGAAGTTTATGTGAAGTGGAGAATCTTACTCGGGAAAGGAAGCGATTGTTCTTGGAGGCGCAGTATGTAGTCCATGAAGCTGATCGAATTGTTCAGCTGGGTGTAGGGTTTGGTGCACTCTGACAAGTAGTTCTGCTTGGAAAATGCAATCTGAATTTTGCTACCATCATTTTCGAATGGAATATTGTTCAAGTGCTGCGAAGGCGTCTCCCATCTGGATCATGGCGGTACCCTGTTTGGTCTTCAGGAATTTTATCCTGACAACATTTCCGTACAGGCAGAACAGATTGAACAGCTTATCGGTGTTGACTGTGTTGTTATCGAGTTCGTAGACCATCATCACTGCGCCCTGTTGCTGTGCCGGATGAATGAAGTTGGCTGGTCTAGTTCGGGTCAGCGGTGCGTCCTTCATCAGTCCGACGTGTCTTCCGGCCGGTGTTGGTTACCAGTTTTCCGACGGATGATACTCGGGCGGTGAAAAATTCGGTGCAAATCCGTTTCCTCCGCCGGCTCCCAGAAGGGCCGGTTTAGGACCATGGTTGACTAATGCTTGACGGTCGTTGTACGGGGTCGGCTTTCAGTCGAAGATGGTGGGATCGGGGAGCAACGGAGCTCGTCCGTTGCAGGAATTCTTGGAGACGGCTGCATCCAATGGACAGTCCCAACTGTAGTTCGTGTCGTTTTTGTTAACATTGAAAAACAAAACAAAAACGAGAGCTGTTAAAATACCGGGTTGCCAAACAAGGCATTATTCACAAGCAAACAAAAGTCAGTTCAATTACTTCTCGGCACTGCCGGCACAGCTGCGGCACACTGAGAAAAAAGTTGGCGCAAAATATTATTATAAGTGTGTAGAGGTGACCACCCCTTGCATACATTCCATACATACTCCTAGACTGAGTAAAAAATTGAGTTGAACTTGACTCAGTTGCTGAGATGCTCTCATTGGCCGTGTATCAGCAATGAAAAATGCCAGTCGTCACAAAATCAGCGAATTTCCAGCTGAAAAGGAACGCAACTAGGGAATGATGACGCCTATCTTGATTGCATTGGCAGTGTTGCTAGAAACCACCTACACCGGCCAATGAGATTAACCCTAATTTGAGTTTATATAGTTAAAGATGCTAATTTCAAATAACAGACTAAAGTTACACAGCAGAGTACGAGTGCAACACACCAGAGTACGGCGTAGCAACAGGCTGACCGGACGACCTACAGTCGAGTCAGCGAGAATGGCCAACGACCGATCCAGAATGCGGAGTCAGCATATGGAATCGATAAGAAGGCCAGCGGATAGGGAACGTGGTTCAGTTGTTTTTTGTTACAGTTAAGTTCATTTGTATTTTGATAGTCAGTGATTAAATGCAAAGAAATTAAAATCATCCTTTTTTAAAAAACCTATCACGGCCCCGATCGCATAATTCTAAAGTGGTAATTTAGATGCGGAGATGAACGTATAGAATTGATAGTTCCGTTAGAGTACGGCAGTGTGTTTTTTCAGGGTTTTCCAGGTTTTTCCAATGAAAAATAAAATGTCAGACGTTACAAAAACAGCGTAAAAAAAGAAATGCATCAACGAGCGAATGATGACTGTACTTTCATGGCAAGTTGAATTAAGGTCAACAATCTACGTATCCTTGGTTTTCCAAAAAGGGTTTTTCGGACTAGCGATCCGAATGCTGCTGTCGGAAATCTTCTCCCGTTCGAATTTCAGCCCGACAAAACCTACCATTCTTATAAACCTAATCGTCGAATCCTTCAGCTGATTTTTTGTTCTTTCTCCATGAAAACAATATTTCAACGCGAAGCACACACACCATCTTATTGCAACAATTGTCATTATTATTTGTCTATTTATTGTGTCGGGCCATAAATTCTTACTGCGTAACAAACAAGCCCACTACTTTTTTGCCCTCAGGGCAATCTCGACAGTGGTGTATACCGAGTAGTATAATTCAAGACCAAACATTGAAAAGGCCTCAACTCCATTTTGTAAACAAGCCTTTGACCTTTCACATTTTCTCGCGAACGTAAACTCACATTCGCGAACCTAACACACAATCAGGTAGAGGAGAACTTCCTCTACCTGTTCATTTAGTTGGTTTGCGTTGGTGGACTTCGGTTTGCGATAAAATGACCTTACAAGGTTTGTTTACAAAATGGAGTTAAGGCCTTTTCAATTGTTGGTCTTGAATTGTCGATCTGTGTGTACACACATTTCAAGTGCGTGAGTGTTATAGAATAACTCAGGATCAACAATAGAACAGGGCTCATCAGTATTCGTAAATTAACCGTTCTAAAGCAACCACCAATACCATCATCCGATAGGGGAAAGTTTTCCCTTACACGATAATGGTGTTGATTTGCGTGGGCGGCCTTCGCTCGGTGAGGAAAGGGCTTTAGAACGGTTCGTTTACAAATGTTGATGGGCTCTGTTCTATTGTTGATCCTGAGTTATTCTATAACACTCACACTTGAAATGTGTGAACACACAGATCGACGTTTCTATCGTTTATCGAAAGACCAGAACTATTGTTACCACGTCGTTCTAGCAAAGCGAAGACGTACCAGGGGAGGTGAAATTACTGCCCTTAAATCAACATATTTTTCTTAAACAATCCAGGAAATTACTCGCACTGAACAGTTCATATTGTTATCTTGTATTGAAACTATTTGCACGGCCAATCAGAACGACTCAGCAACTGAATTCAATTGACTCAGAGCATTTTCTTTCCATGCAAAATTTACTCATATATAGGAAAACTTGTAGTTACTCATAACTATGTGTTCCTGCAGGTTTTCCCAAATATGAGTAAATTTCGTATGGAAACAAAATGCTCTGAGTCAATTGAATTCAGTCGCTGAGTCGTTAGGATTGGCCGTATGGTGTGATCGAAATTTCGTTTGTTTTCCTGGAAATATTCTAACAGATTGATTTTCGACTGGGCGAAGAAAGTCGGAACGCTTTTCGCTCTCCTCTTAGCTTTGTCTCGACTGCTTCTGCTAGTACATAAGTAGTTTTCTGTTTTCAGCCTAATTATCAACATTTTTTTCCGTTTATGTTCCTCTATCATTTGGTTAATATTCGATTACGTTAATTGATTGGGGTTCGGTTGTGCTATTTTGTTTATGCATTCCACTATGTATATTAGTTGTGTGCTTACACTTGCTTATACTCGCTACGCGGTTCAACACGGGTAGGTTAATTATGTTATGTCACGTAATTCTAGTTTACACAAACACACTCATTTATGTGACTAATGTTCCGATTATACAGTCGCCCCAACTACCGGAGCAGAACTGAAATACTGCTGATTACTGCGTGTGTATGTATGTATGTATGTAGGTTCCAATTGACAGAATGTTTCGAATTGATTTTCCTCGTCGGTTAAAATATCTCACTCATCGCTTTTCCTAAAAAAAAAAACAGCTTCTCAAATGTTGCACTTGGCAGAGAGGTGTGCACACACGAACGCCTTAAAACTATCGCAAAGTATGCAAAATACAGATATTCTAAAATCGAACGGAGGGCTGCTGGCGAGACCATTTGGATTGGTATAGTTACAGATGCGCAGGTCGAAAAGTAGGTAGGTACTTACATAAAAGCGTAACTCACAATTTACACAGGAGCAGTCGAAGAAGACGGGGATCGCCGGTGGTGGCAGTTTCATTACGGTTCGTGCCACCGGACGAAATCCTCCAGCGTTCGGGGGATCTGATTCCGGTAAGGGATACCGAACTTGGTGATTACCGTGGAGCAGAGACACTTGAGACTGATGTAGTTCACCAGCGGGATGTCGTTGACCGGGTTCACGGCGATCAGCGACATCGGACGATCGTCGTTCCGATTCGGTTGGTCCAGATGGGCACCGTACTCCAGCAGGGTGTGGACCAGCTGGAACGAAAAATGTTCATCATGATTTCCTGATTCGAATTCAAGCAACGATTCGGGAAACGCACCTCCCTCTCGTAATTATACGGCATCGATGCCACGAGCAAAGGGGTCGACTTGCTCTCGTTCTTGGCATTCACGTGGGCACCGCATTCCAGCAGCAGCTTGGCCACGTTCAGATTGGGAAAGATCGCCCGCAGGCTGCTATCGTCGGTGAAGTAACCGCTCTTGATCACATTCAACCGCGAAACGGACAAATGCAGCAGCGTATCGTTGGTGATGGCACTGCGGATGTTGTTGCGCACCAACTGCCGGACGGATCCGCTGACCAGGTCCCTTTCCTCTTCGCTGTTGGCCGTCGAGATCAGCAGGTACATCAGATGCGTTAGGCATTTCAGGATGCGGTCGAAGTTTTCCTGCTGCTTTCGGTGCACCGGGCGGATGTTGAGTAGCTGGCGAGCGTCTGGAAATGAGGAAGGGGCGGGTTGAATTGTGAGTGAACGTTTTGAGTGGAGTTTAGAAATAATTGCTTAAATATCGAACGGCTACTTGGTCTACCATCTTGCTAGATTTCCGAGCGTACATTTCTATCGGAAGAAGCCATCACAATTACAACGGATTGAGGAACAGTTTGGAGGATTTTCATTTTAGAGAAATTTAAGAAAACAAGCTGAGAAGATTGAACTCTCAAAGAAAGATCAATGTCGAATTTATTTTGGCTCGCAATACTCACACTGTTAGTTTCGTCCACGCGGAGCAGCATTTCAACGTCTAATGAACGAACGACGCCCAAAAGCTGCTGTTTGAAATCAAAACTGCTGACTTGTTTATGTTATGCCTTGATAAGACATGCTACACCACCCCCTAGTCTGACCTGTGTCTGATATTCATTTTGTCCACCACCAAGAGAGGCGCAATATTATCCGATTGTCTGTTTTGCAGACATGAATGAATGATCGTTATTGCTAACGACAGCACTTTTGCGATCTAGCCAGGGTTCTCCAAACGAGATTGAAAGTGTTCCTCGAACTGATTGTAGCACACTGCTGAGAGTCACGTTGTGGTAGCTTTATAAAATGATTCGTCTGCATCTTCAACTACACACCCACTCGGCACGACAACCAAAACAAAACGGTTGATCTTGATCCTCGGGCGAACCTATGCTGCTGATCGTGCGTCTTTTGCCACCTGGTTATTATTAATTTCCATAAATATTTTTGCATACAAATATTTTCAACAATACTTTCGGTGGGGTCATCAATACAGGACTGCTCCGGATTTTCATAAAATTTCCAGGAATTCTTTCGGAGCTTTGCTGAAGTTTTCGGAAATTCACTGAGTTTCTTGAAACTTCATTAAGGTTTCTAATATTTCTTTGATATTATTTGAACTGTGATTGATTCTGTGACCTGTATTGATGTTCTCGAAGCTTCCATAAAGATCTTAGTTCTATTGAAGATCTCGGTTCTGCTCGGAAATAAATAGAATTCCCGTAAACACCTTTAAATTTCTCTGAAATTTTCTGGACTTCTGTGAAGTTTCTGAAATATATTTGAAGTTTTCATAAATTCTCTGAAGGTCTCTGTACTTCCCTGAAATTCGCGGAACATCTTAAGGGTTTTGGATTTGTTTTTCAGTACATCATGCAACTATCTTGAATTTATCTTAACTTACGATTATAGATTTTTAATCTATCTAGCTTTTCACAATATACATCTCAAGTTTTCAAAATTTATCAAGGTGTCAAGTGAAGTTCTCTGAAGTTCTAGGAACTTCATAAAAGTTCCTGAAAAGTCTCAGATGCTAAAAGAACCGCTTTGAGGTTCTTACAGCTTCCAGTAAGTATCCCATATCTTAAGCGTGTTAACTTCCCTTATGTTCCTGCAGTTTGTTTACAAAGCTTCACTGAAATTCTCAGCATTTCCTTTCATTCCTCAGAACTTCTCCAAAGTTCCTACAATTGGTGTAAAGTTAAAGGGACTGCATTGAAGATCTCTAATCTTTCATGAAGTTAATTACGAACTTGAAACAAATCATTTATTTTTTTACTTAATTCTGGCACTTTGAATATCTTCAATATCTTGAACTTACTTACTTGGAAAACACAGGTAATTTTATCCAGAAAAATGAGTAGACATCCTCTATATAGAGAAGACGATTAAACGTCACAACGTAAAGAATAATCAATCTTGAAATAAATTCACGCTAAAAAAGTTGAAAGTAGTAACTTATTTTCAAGAAAAAGTTACTTTTTAGTGACTGACTTGAAAAAAGTGACTCGCTACCAGCCCTGACATCTCTGATTACTCTGAAGTAAAGCCGTTGGTCTCATTAACCGGGGTTGATGGGTCGATAGGTACACGGAGAAAAAAATGCTACCCAAAATTTGAGTTCTTTTAAGTTAATATTGAGTTCAGTCTCTCACTTGCACTCGTTATTGCTGTCAAAAAAGGAACGAGAGATTCGACCCAACGATATGGTTCAGCCCAAGAAGTTACTTTTGAGTAAATTGCATATTCTCAAATTTACGTGAATTAAACTTAATTTTGGGTAGAATATGCTTAAGAGTATGTATTTTTTTATGGTGTTAAATGGAAACTGCTATGTGCGATTTACTCAAATTTTGGTTATAGATTTCTCTGACGTTTTGTGAATTGCACAAGTATTAGTGCAGAAATTTGGGTAAATTCAAAGGTTTTCTTGCACAAATACTTATAATTTACCGTATGCGTGATAATGTTTGCACCATCGTACAAATAAGGTTCCCGTTTTACCTGTGCATACAATGCCTTGGTTTTCTTTGCATGCACGTAACCTATAGCTCATACCGTAGTAGGCTGTGTATAAAAGAAAATGATTTACTTAGTTTGACAGTTGCACCATGACGAAGTGGCAGCGAATTCGTGATTTGTCCCACGCGCAAATGTCGCAAAAAGACATTTCAATCGCCGTGGGAGTGTCCCGGTGGACCGTCAAAAGGGTTTTAGACCGAGAAAAGAAAGGACAACTATCCGCAAAGGTGGCCACAGGTCGTCCGAGGTCAGTTTGGGTTCCGAGGGTCATCGCTACTATCAAAAGGAAGATTCGGGTGAATCCAGTGCGTTCAAAAAGGAAAATGGCAAAGGAACACGGGATCAGTGACTTTACGGCACGGAATATCGTAAAGGAAGATTGCGGGGCGAAGTCGAGGGCACGGAAAAAAACTCACATGATTACCACCCGCATCCGGGAGCTACGAGTCGAACGATGCAAGAAAATCTTGAACTTCCTTAAGCGAAAAAATCCGGTAATCCTGTTCACCGACGAGAGCATGTTTACCGTCGTCGATCCCGTATCAAATTCCAGAACCGACCAGTATATTAGTTCTCTTTTGGTAAAAGACGTGGCCGACGAGCACAAGAACGTGTATCTGACCAAGCATCCTGCTAGCGTTATGTTGTTTGGTATGGTGATTTCCGATGGCAAAAAAAATGGACCCGCACTCAGAAGTGGTTGCGGGAACATTTTCCGTTCTGGGCAAAGGATACGTGGCCGCCATCCAGCCCCGATCTTAATCCGCTGGATTACTCAATATGGCGCGTCATGAAGGCCAAGGCCTGTTCTAAACGCCACCCGAGTACAGCAAGTCTCAGACAAACATTAACCCGTACCTGGAGAGAAATGGATCCAGACTACATTATTAGGACCTGCCGTGCATTCCGGACGCGTGTGGAGGCCGTAATTGCAGCAAGTGGAAACTCGATCGATGATTAACATAGTTTAAGACTCTGAGAAACATCCCCCCTTTGAATAAATAAAAAAAAAACTCGAAAACGAAATTTTTGAGAATTTTTTTAATTTTGACATTGCTTAATGGTGCAAACATTATCACGCATACGGTATGCTTAAGAGTAGGTTTTTTTTGCTGGTTTTAAATGGAAACTGCTATGTGCGATTTACTCAGATTTCGGTTATTGGGCTGAACCCCGGAATTGAGGGAAAAGTACTTAAGTTTGGGTAGTTTTTCATCTCCGTGTAGGGACCGGACGATCTTAAATCGAAACACAAAAGATCGATTATTTTGGTTCGATTAATCGATTTTTTGGATCGATCTCAAACAAGACAAACATCGACTGGATCGATCCTTTTCATTCGATTTTTGTTTCGATCCAAGAAAAATTTTCAGTGCATTTGCATTTGTAATTTAGTATTGATTTTTTTTTGTCTTCACCTTTACACATCACTTGCCATGAACATGGACGTTGAGCTGGTTTATACATATGCCGTTGCAACGCTCCTTGATCCCCGTTTCAGGAGTCTTCAGTCTTATGTGAGGAATTAAAATATTGTTTTAATTTGGTTTTTGTCATTGTAAAGTCAATGTTATCGCAGTGCTTATTATATGTGTCCATCATTTGGTTCAAGGGTTGACTGCCTAGCAAAGATACTTTATTTCCATTTCGTCAAGCCAGTGTAGACTACATACAATGATTATTACAATGTTTACTTACATACTATGCATTAATTCTATTCTGTTTTAGCTTAGTTTTTATTTGCTACTTGGACATAGTGATGTCAATAGTTCCGCAATGCAAATTATATAGGCGCATCATTCGATTGATTGGGCTATTTTTTGCATAGTTTGTCCTGTACGATGTTTCTGAAAATAAATTCCGTGTTCTAAGATATCGACAAGGTGTGCGAGAATTTCTGCCGAATCTATGCGCATTGAAATAATGTCGTTGATGAAGAAAAGCATTGCAAATTGGCGGCGCTCCTTAAGTGTTTGTATATTGATGAGCATGCAGCGCGCTTCATAAGATGGTAATTAAATTTACGTAAAGCATATAAAAGAAATTGTTTTTGGACAGATTCTATGCGTTCTTCGTGTATGGAAATGTATGGATTCCATACTAGGTGGCAGTATTCCAGAATTGGCCTTACATATGCGGTATATAAAAGCTTAATAGTGTATGGGTCTTCGAAATTATGACTGAACCTTTTGATGAAGCCTAGCATTCTGTTTGCTTTACTAATGATAGTATTATAATGTTCTATAAAAGTTAGTTTGGAGTCTAGGATTACACCTAGATCTCTTACAATTTTGCTTTTTTCTACTATTTGGTTGCCTAATGATATTTCAATATGCGGTGTTTCAATTTTTCTGCTAAATGCGTTCAGTTGAAGTAGACTTTTACTACACCAGGTGTGGAATATATTGATTTCATTCTGGAATTCTTCTGCATCGCTAGAATTACTTATTTCCATAAAGAGCTTCATGTCGTTTGCATATACAAGCAATTTTATTTTTTTAAGTATGTAGGAAATGTCGTTTATGTACAAAATAAAAAGAAGTGGGCCTAAATGAGAACCCTGGGGTACCCCAGAGGTGACTGAAATTGGCTCTGAAATTTTTTTTTGAAATCCAACTATTTGTTTACGATGTGTTAGGTATGATTGAAGCCAATTCAAAAGTCCAGGCTC